AAATCGATTTTTCGGAATATTTTCTTTCGGAAAATTGAATTTTCGGAATTTTTTTTTCGGAAAATTGACTTTCGGAAAAAAATAATTCGGAAATTTGAGGGGGAACCACTGTACGTAATCCAAACTTTTCCGCTTCGCAGCAATCTAGTTTACCTCCCGCTTAATGTTTAACCAAAATTTCAATGGACCCTTTTTTCATAGCATTTTTGACCTTAAAATATAACTATTTCGACCATTTTCCATACAAAAGTGTCATTTTCGAACAAAATTTCAAAAATTTCAAGAAATTTTGATTTCGGACCAAATTTATGGGCAAGTAGGTGTTCAGTTGTTTGAAGGCTCCCATTATTTTTGCAAAAAAATATCAGTTTGCTTTGAACAAAACCCTGAAAAATGGCTTTCTGAGTGATTTTTCATACAAAAGTCTATTTTTCGAGGAAAATTTCAAGAAATGTCGATTTCGGACCAAATTTATGGGCAAGTAGGTGTTCGGTTGTTCACTGACTCCCATTATTTTTGCAAAAAAATGGCAGTTTGCCTTGATCGAAACCCTGAAAAATGCTTTTTTCGGGTACTTCCCGTACAAAAGTGTCATTTTTCAAGGTTTTTCAGGTCCTCAGTCGGAGGCTTATGGTACGAAATTGGTAAATCATAATGGGCTCAAAATCAATCCGAAGCTTTGTCTCGACATGCCAAAACTTTTGGCTTTTACAGATCTCAATTATCTTGTCAACTTTTTGAAATAATCGGCGAACAAAAAACGCGAACGCGGACGACGCCATACGCACATCGCAATTTTGCACATTTTTCATAGTAAACAACATGTTTTTGGAGGCAGTTAGGTCTTGATCGATAGGATTTGTTCCTATCTACATTGCCTAGTGTACAGATATGTGCTTTTTGAAGTTTGGCGTGACGTTATAGTGGTCCGAAAGAGGAGATGTCATGAAATTTTGGCTAGTAAAACCCAGGGGGTTTGTAGATTGAAACAAAAGCACACTAGCGTCGCAGTTTGCCCTACAATATCATATACGGCAAGCTACAGAACTATTCATTCAGTATATATCATGTAGCTCAACTGTCAATCTGTAATCCCCCTGGTAAAACCAATACTTTTCCATACAAACAAAGTTTGCGGAAAAGTAATATTTTTCAAGTGTATCTTATTTTCATTATCTTTGTTTGGCATAATTATAAAATCATAAAAACATAGTTTCATGAGACATAACATGCGCGTTCTTGGAGCGGCCATCGAAATTGATTACAATAGTAGCCAACATTGATTACATCAATAACCAAAATTACAATGTAATAATTTCAACACCCAATTACATTTTTATTCTACGTTTTTACAAACATGAAGTTTAAAAAGGCTAAATAACGCAAATCGTCGTATTAATAAAAATCAAAGAGATAAATCAAACATTGATTCCTCAGCAATAATTAATAGCGGCCCATCCAGTTGGAGTGACCGATCCAGTTGGAGCGGCAACTCTACAATTCACCATGGAGCGGCTAATATTGTTTTTCAAAAGAAAAACTATAATAAACGAATTTGAATTGTCTGAAATTAATTTAATCAATGAAAGTAAGAAAATTACTTTTTTATACATTTTCATTGGTTGAATTTTTTCTTTTGATATATAAAATTAGCCGCTCCATGGTGAATTTGTAGAGTTGCCACTCCAACTGGATCGGCCACAGGTAATTGTTACTGAGGAATTAATATTTGATTTATCTCTTTGATGTTTTTAATACGAAAGTATTATTTGGCTTTTTTCATTTCATCTTTGAAAGAACATCAAATAAAAATGTAATTGTGTGTTGAAATTATTACACTGTATTATTGGTCATTGATGTAATTAATGTTGGCTACTATTGTAATCAATTTCGATGGCCGCTCCAAGAACGCGCATGTTATGTGTTATGAAACTATGTTTTTATTTTATTCCTATTGTGCCAAACAAAGGTGATGAAAATAATAGTGACACTTGAATCAAAATATTTATTATGTTATAATCATATTTATTTAGAAAAAGTGAAAAAAATGAATCAGAAATATATGACCGATCCAGTTTTTGTGTGGCCGCTCCACCAGCATGATTGTTAGTTGTACAGCTGACCAACTGACAAGCAAACTGCAGCGCTAGTGTCTATGTGTCAAAATTTTCAATCCCCCTGGTCCTTAGAATCGATTCTTGATTTGTTAATTTAGTCGTAGATCCTTGTCTTTAGTCTTGGTTGGCTGATGTCCATTCAACTATTTACGTTTCGGCAAACCATAATGCGATTTCCTTGTTGGCAGTTTCGACGGCATCTGAACCGTGAATAATGTTCCGACCAGTTTGGATGCTGAAATCGCCTCGAATAGTGCCTGGTAATGCGTTAGCTGGGTTGGTAGCGCCCATCATTTGACGCCCACTTCTGACGATATTCAAACCTTCCCAAACCATTGAAACGACTGGACCAGAGCCCATGTACTCCATCAATGCGGGGAAGAATGAACGTTCGGCATAGTGTTGCTGCAGCAATTCTTGTGTTGGCCTGAAGAATTTCATTGCAATCAATTTAAAGCCTTTCATTTCGAAACGTTTGATGATTTCACCGACAAGTCCACGTTGCACAGCATCCGGTTTGATCATGATGAAAGTTTGTTCTTGATTTCCGCTTAATATTTTATCTGTTTGCCAGAGAATTATGTCATTTTTTTTAATTCACTGTGATAGCTTATGCATAGCTTCGAAAAAAAATATTTCAACACTCGCAATTCTCAGTAACATTAGTTGGTTCATTTTTCAATTCTTGATCATTATCACCTGCGAAAAA